GCAAAATTATCTTTAATTTCATTTCTTTCATTATTTCTCACTTTTTCTGTATCTCTTACTAATTAGAGATGGAACTCAATTTATCATCTGATAGTTATGGCTGTTTTCCAGCGCTTTCTATTTTTATTTTTTCAAGAAAAATTTCTTGGGGCTGGTGAGATGGCTCAGTGGTCTACAGCACCTACTTAGAACAAGCTAAGCTAAGCAAAGCATAGGGACTGCGGTTCAATCCTCCAGCACCACATGTCAGCCAGCCCCGCCCCCTGGTGGGCTGAGCTGGCCACACACAAAATAAATGAATAAATAAATAATAAAAAAATTTTAAAGAAAAATTTCTTGAATTAAAGGGAAGGAAAGAGAATAGGAAGAAAGAAGAAAGATGTATCATTGAACAGATACAAATTCTCTGTGATCAATATTGTATATATCTAAAATGTACCAATAAAATTAATTTTTAAAATCAAGCTATGTGAACGATTTCACCAAAAATTTGGTCCTAAGCTTACACAAGATCTACAAATAAAATCTTAAAGTTTAGTCATAAAGACAGGTGAACTTGTTTCATTGTGGCATAAATATTTTCATATAATTTAGGTAAATCTTTGACAAATGAGTTAATTTAAATTTGTTAAGATTATAAAAAGATTTCAGTTTCCTTAACACACATTTTTACCTGATTGTTGGACAATCATAATCGTATGTATCTTTGTTTTGTTTGAGATAGGGTCTTGCTATGTAATTCCAACTGGCCTTGGACTCACTAGTCCATGCTAGCCTTGAATTTACAGTGATCCTCCACCTCAGCCTTGAAAGTGCTGGGATCACAGGCACATGCCACTGTGCACAGCTAATTGTCTTTATGTTTGTTAGTTTTTTGTTTTGTTTTTTTAGTAAGGGTCTACAGGGTTTCACTACCTAGATCAGACACATAGTGATCCGCCTGTGTTCAGCCTCCCAAAGAGCTGAGATTACGGGCTCACGCCACCATGCCTAGTCTCAGTCATTATCTCAGTGTGCTGGAGGGGCGGGCAGGCACAGCAAGGCGGGATCGAACCCTGGCTGCTTGTTTGCCTAAACAGGTGCTTTAATCCACTGAGATTTTTTTTTTTTTTTAGATTTTTGAAATGCAGTATCCATTGCTATTTCAAGTAGAGCAACTCTTACTGTTATTGTTTGACTAAGAAATTAATTACTGTCTATTCTTGTATATCAGTTTCCATAAGCAGTCTAGAAATAACTTTAATTATAAAGGGGATAATTGTTCATAAATGTGTTGATAGGTAAGAAACAATGTATAAGTAAATAAGTTAAAACATAAGAACCTCAATTCTTAAATATAAATTGAAGTACTTTTGAGTTTTTTAATTCTGTAAAAAATTAAATTAGGTTCATTAAATGTGTCTTCATAAATTGCTATATCATAAAACTACTTAAGATTGCTTTCTTCTTCAGTTTTCAATAAAAGTAGGATTAGCAAGAGTTTAAATATTGGTTAACAGGGGCCAGCCAGATAGCTCAGCAGATTAAAGCGCCCGCTTAGGCAGATGCAGGGATGGGGTTCAATCCCTGGCATGCAATGCCAGCCCTGCCCCCAGGCACACTGAGATGGTGATTGACACTGGGAGTGGTGGCACGCCTCTGTAATCCCATCACTTGGAAGGCTAAAAACAGAAGGATCACTACAAGTCCGATCTATGTAATGAGACCCTGTAGACCCTGTACTAAATACATTTTTAAAAATAAGTAAGAAAAGTTGACTGGAGGAAAGGAATAACTCTTGAGAGATAGGAGGGGTCCCAGGTGGGTTGCCAGCAAGGTCATTTCTCCAAGAATGTTTTAAGGAGCAGAATCACAAGATGGGTAAAAAAATCATGAGATGGGTATAAAATGGGTCAAACTATTGTCCACCAATAGGATTCTAAGTATAGTGTCTTAACTATTTTGATCCAATAGGGATGTGGGGCACGTAGCAAGGGCGGATGGCTGACATCATTAACTTTGACTTTTCTATGACTTCTACAATAGGAACATTTTTGGAAACAGATGAGCTCAGCTAGTCTGGTCACCCATCAGGTGTCTGATGTGTATCTGAACTTAATGTACTGGGTGGCACTGATTATAGTATTATCCCAAATTTCCATTTATCTTTTAGGGAAGTGTACAAATCTGGCCATGTAACTTTAATCTTGAAGCCTTGCATTCTTCAGATATGCCACTTAGCACAATCTTAATGTCTCTTTTACTGATTTGAGATCTCAGTACCTCTCTATGTATTAATTTTTATCTAACTTAGCTGCCTATAATGGTATCATGATCTCAAGAGCCATTCATTTTCTTACAAATGACTCAAGTTTATTTTTCTTGGATGAGCAGTACTCCATTGCGTACAAATACCATGATGACTTTATTGATTCACCTGTTAATTGATAGATAGGCCACTTCCATGATTTACTTGCAGTGAACAGTGCTGCTATAAACATGGGTATATGTATCACTATAATATGATGACTTTAGCTCTTTCTAGAAGACACCAGAAGTATAACTGGGTAAAATGGAATTTCTGCTTTTAATTTTTTGAGCAATCTCTAAGATCATCATTTTCCATAATGTTTGTACTAGTTTAAATTGCCACCAAAAATAAAAGTAGTACAGATAGCAAACCTGAGGGTGGGAAACCACTCTCCTCCACCAGCTTAAATTTGTGTAACACCCCAGACTCAGTCCTTTTTCATTGTCCTAAGAGAAACAGAAATAAAAAAGACCCCCCCAAAATCTGTAAAGCTTCAGACCAGACAGAGCAAATGCATGTTAGAGCTTATGGCCTAACTTTCAATAACACTTTACCCACTCAAACTTCTTAAAAATTTCACAGAGAAGACATCTCATGTGTGTGATTAAAAGAGATTGAATTCTGATACTGCCAAGCATACTAGGTGCTATTTGGATGACCCAACACCCTGTCAATCACTTCTGTCAATCTTATAAAGACATCCAGAGGCACCCAGAGTGGGCCGCACAAAATTTAAAATGCAAAAGCCTGGTTTATATTTGTTCTTCCCTCGTCCCTGCTGTCCTGGCAGCACTTGTCCACTTGGGACGCCCTCTCTGTTTCTGATGACACAGACGCCCTACACACAACTTCCCATTACCTTCAACAAATGTTGCTTTCTTCCTTTGCTCACCATACAGAAGAACTGATCTCTTGGAGCACTGCTTTTCCTCCACAGTTCACCAACATTTCCCGCTAAGTATGTGAAAATGGACATTCTTAGTAGAGTAAGGTGGAATCTCAGTGATGTTTTGATTTACATTTCTCTAATGACTACCTCTAAGCACCGTGTCCCTTTATGCTTCCTTTGTTCTGGTCTTATCACCATGTTCTAGCCTATTTCCTACAAGAAAAAACCTCCACCAGATCTTGCCAGCTGCAAAAGAGAAATAAAAAGAACCATTAAGCAGAAAAATGCTTGTTCCAAACCTTGCACCAGTCAGAAAGAAATCAACTTATAGGTCTAATTGATCTTTTGCTTTTAGAATTCCAGATTTCTAAATCTGCAAGATCTGATATTATGAAGTCCTTGAGCCAGCAGAAACTAGATGCAAGATTATGTGAATCTACACACACAAGAAAAAAGAAACGATTCTATATCAAACTATCGATGAGTTTTTGACTGCCACACTAAACTGTGGGTACAGAAGTTTATATTTTTCCACAAAGTTATGTGCTGAAGAGAATTCACATCAATGTAAAGTATAAAATAAGCAAGTATTCGTTGGCTTATTTTAAAACATAGAAATATAGAGCAAATTAACATTAAAGACAACTACTTTATTGTTTGCAGTTCAGCCCAGATACGGTCCAATCCTGTCTACTTTCTTCATGTGGGATACAGCATACAAAAGTTAATAGTTAAAAAAAAAGTTAATAGTTATACCCATGACCTTAAATAATTGTAAAATAATGGATTCATGAGTATCTTATCAAACATTTTATATCAATATGGCTATAGCGATCATCTGAATTTTAATTATTAGAAAACAGGTAGCCCATGAGACTTTATGCAGGGTAGCTTTTTCTCTCGGTCTCTCTGTCTCTCTCTCCCTCCCTCCCTCTCTCTTTCCCCCCTCCCTTTTCCCC